AAGAAGGTTAAATCATGCAATCATATGTTTACAATTTTTTTAAAGTTATTCATTTGACAACATTTCATTGTCAAAATTTATATTTATAAATCCATTGTATACACAGAAATCAGAGATGGGAACCTGTTTTTTATTTAGTGACATTTGACAAGGTAAATTACAGAAATTGCAGAGGTGGATAGTCTAATTTGAAATGACTTTAACTCTTTAATTTTGCCATGCCTTTACCTTTATACATAAGCATCTTGGCATCATATCATGGCATATTAATGTCAATCCTTTATATCACTTCTTTATATATATATTTTTAATAATTTTCGATTAATTCCAAATAATTTATTAATGGATTTAATCAAGAATTATAGTGAGCGTAATTAAATCCATAACATATTGATTAACTCCATCATGCATACTATCTATTATGAAAACCGCTGAACTGGTTCAGTTTCCTTCACAGTGAATCGTTGAATTGAACTGTTTTGCGTAGAGAACTTGTTCCCTTAATAATCACAATAACAGTCGTTTAACTCCAATTTATAATTGAAGTTCCTCTTATAGTTAAGCAAGAGTTATGTGTCTTAAAATAAAAATTAATTTTATTAAGTGATTACATTAGAGCCTCTATTTTCTTGAATGTAATAACTCGTAAAGAAATGATCCTTTAAGCATAGCAAAATTCACCGCCACATAAAGGCAGCGAAAGTTGTCAAGCTCAACAAAAACAAGGCCACGGATGGGATTGCTTTCTTGATAACACGAAACTTCATCTGATCCTTTCCGAAGGGGTTATTACAGAAGGGCTCTAAAAATAAAATCTTAAAACAAATTAAAAAGGCATTCCATTTTTCTCTTTTCAGGCCAGAATATTGAGCGCGGCAACAGGTGTTTGCCATAAATGGACATTCAACTTAGGGGAAACAAAGAAAAATGAAACGAAAAAACATGGAACAATAAAAAGGTAAAGCTGAGCTACCAGCTGATTACAATTTTTTCTAAGTGTGCTCGAATTCTGCCAATTTTTGGCCTGTTCCAGATTTATTAGAATTTAAAAAAATTTCCAACGATAACGGATTTTCCCTTTTTGATAACGAGAATAATTGTAAAAATAGTTGATTCTTGCAAGACCTTTGTATATGTATTTATTGTTTTGAAAAATGAAAACAAAATTGCTCTGTTCCCGAACCTGGAAGAATCTACTAGATTTGCAATTTTTTCGATATCCTAAAACAAAAAGCGCCTACGTTGTTGAAAGTTTTACATCCTTCCCGTTCTGGAACAGAAAATATTTTCAAAATCATTGATTGGAAGAAACATACATTGCGGGGCGTGTATTAAAGGTATTAATCAGTTGTTTCATGATAATCAAAGTTTGAATTTTCATAGTTTTAAAAGAAAATCCAAGTAATTCATTCATCTTTCGTGATATTTAACGAATTTTGAAAACAAGGAATAATAGCAAATAAATGAAAACAACTTGCTGCATATAGTGGCCTAATAGCCTCCGACTTATGGTAGAATTAAGGAGGTAAACCTTGGGAATTTTTTCTTTGCTGGTGTTCTGAAATTTAGAATCCGACACACTGGATTGATGCCGACGGCTGCCTGATTTGTCACGAAGAAGACGAAGTTAATATTTAAAATAATTTGAAACAAAAAGAAAAAAACAACATCTCCAGTCTATTAAAAAGGCTGCGATGAAATGCTTAGCATTATAATTGCATGCCCCTCGAAAATTTTGCTAAGAACTAAAGGTAAAATGAAATAAAAAGAAAAAATTTCCTCGACATTTCTTAAACAGGATTAAGCTGTCTGTTCTCAGCAATCATGTAATACATCAAATATGATAGTTCACCTCGAAAATTTAGCTAAAATCTGCAGTTAAAATTAAATAAAAAGAAAAAAATTTCCTCGACATTTCTTAAAAAGGCAATTTTCTGGATTAAGCTGTCTGTTCTCAGCAATCATCTAATACATCAAATATTATAGTTCCCCTCGAAAATTTAGATAAAATCTGCAGTTAAAATGAAATAAAAAGAAAAAAATTTCCTCCACATTTTTAATACGGGCTATGTTCTGGATTAGGATGTCTATTCTCAGCCTGCCTGATTTATCACGAAGAAGAAGTCAATATTTAAATTAAATCGAAATAAAATGAAAAAAAAAAAACATTTCCAGTCTTGAAAAAAGGCAGCGATGCCCTGCTTAGTATTTGAGTTTTATGCAGATCAAATATGACAGTCTCCCTCGAATATTTAGCTAAAATCTGAAGTTAAAATGAAATAAAAAGAAAAAAATGTCCTCGCCATATTTAATACAGGCGATTTTCTGGATTAAGCTGTCTTTTCTTAGCCATGTAGAAGGAAACATAAAATATGAAAGCGTGTATGGAAATGGGGAGAAATATATCTCAATTTTCTCATATATTTTCATGGGGCCTTGCTGAAAACAGAAGAAACTTTTCCTCCTTCATAGAAGACCAAGAGAGATTCATCTTTAATTAAAAGACTAAAAATTGTAATTCTCAATGGAGATTATTAGTATTTCAGAGCTGGGTAAGATTATCTCTATCGTAATTTAAAAAATTGGGGGTTGGCATCTTTCCCATAAGTTGGCAGATATTCTATGCCTAGCATTTGAATTTTATGAAGATCATATGACCTCCCCCGGAAATTTAGCTAAAGTCTGAAGTTAAAATGAAATAAAAAGAAAAAAATTTCTCGTCATTTTTAATACAGGCGATTTTCTGGATTAGGCAGTCTATTCTCAGCCATTGCATTAAAGACGGAGCGTCGGCTGCCTGATTTGTCACAAAGAAGACAAAGTCAATATTTTGAAATAAAAAGAAAATAACGTCTCCAGTCTATTAAAAAGGCAGCGAAGTTATACTTAGCATTTGAATTTTATGCGAATATCAAATATGATAATCTCTCTCGAAAATTTAGTTAAAATCTGAAGTTAAAATGAAATAAAAAGAAAAAAAATTACTCGCCGTTTTTAATACAGGCGATTTTTGGATTAGGCTGTCTGTTCTCAGCCATGGAGAAGAAAAATATAAAATGTGGAAGCGTGTCTCGTTGGTGGAAATAGGGAGAAATATTTCTCAAATTTACTCATGTATTATTATGGGGCCTTGGTGGCTATAGAAGAATCCTTTCCCTCTTCATAAGTTGGCAGATATGCTAAGCTTGACCTTACGAAGTTGAAATTTAGCTAAAATCTGAAGTTAAAATGAAATAAAAATGAAAGTGTGAATTGTCACGAAGAAGATGAAGTCCATATTTGAAGTATTTTGAAATAAAAATAAAAAAACATCTCCAGACTATTAAAAAGGCAGCGATGCTATGCTTAGCATTTGCATTTTATGAAGAATCCGAAGTTAAAATGAAATAAAAAGAAAAAATGTCCTCTACCTTTTTAATACAGGCTGTCAGCCATGGAGAAAAAACAAGTAAAAAAGCTGTAAGTTCGGCCGGGCCGAACTTTTAATACCCTCCACCATTTGGTACAAATTTGGCATTTTCTAATAAATAAAATCCGTTAAAAATTCTGTTAAAATCTTAAGAATACCGAATGCTTATACGACGACGTGGGCCAGCATAGGCAACTTTTGTCATAAGTTATTACACTATTTAAATGCGAAACTTGAAGAAAAATCTGTTTATAATCTAGCTAATATCATTAAAATACCGAATATGGGGGGTACCGTTATATGGGGGCTATACGAAGCCATGGACCTGCACAGACAATTTTCTGGCATGGGCTGAAGTATCCATTCCGAAATTCACATGCGAAATTTGAAACAATCCCGGTAAATAATGTCGCTAAAATCATCAAAATACCGAATATCGGGGGGTACGGTATATGGGGGCTATATGAAGACGTGGACCTATATGGCCCATTTTCTGTTTTATGCTGCAGTATCCATTACGAAGTTCAAATACCAAATTTGAAACGATTCCGGTAAACAATGTCGCAAAAATCATAAAAATACCGAATATCGGGGGGTACCGTTATATGGGGGCTACACGAAGACATGGACCTGCACAGATAATTTTCTGTTTTAGGCTGTAGTATTCAATACGAACTTCAAATGCCAAATTTGAAACAATTCCGGCGAATAATGTCGCTAAAATCATAAAAATACTGAATATCGGGAGGTACAGTTATATGGGGGCTATATGATAACTTGGACCTACATGGCCCATTTACGAACTTAACCTGCCTACTGGCAAAATATACATGTGTGCAAAATTTTAGCCTTCTATCTCAATTTGTTCAAAAGATAGCGTGATTACAACAGACTGACAGACAGACGGACAGACAGACACACAGACAGACAGACGGACATGGCTAAATCGTCTTAGAATTTTACGCTGATCAAGAATATATATACTTTGTTGGGTCTGACATGAGTATTTCGAGGAGTTACAAACGGAATGACAAAATTAATATACCCTCCATAGTATGGTGGAGGGTATAAAAACATAAAATATGAAAGCGTGTCTCGGATGGAATTTTATCTCAATTTTCTCATATATTATTGTGGCGCCTTGATGCCTGCAGAATCAAAGCTTTTCCCTGTCAAAGAAGACCATGAGAGAATTATCTTTCATTAAAGGACTAAAAAATTGTAACTCTCAATGGAGATTATTAGTATTTCAGAGCTGGGTAAGATTATAGTAATTTTAAAAATCTCAGGGGGTAATTTTCGCATAAGTTGTAGTATCAAGGGCCAACATATTAAGAAAATTGATACAACGCGCGTTTTCAAAACATCAGAGAACAGACCAAAATCTCTGAAATTTTTTCCATATTTATTGGTCTGTTCCAGAATTGCAAGAATGTATCTACGATAACGGATTTTCCCTTTATGATATCAAAGAAAATTCCACAACTAGTTGATTCTTGCAGGTACCGGAACAGAGCATATAAGTGACAATAAACTTTTTTTTTTTGATTTCCTTTGCCAAAACCTTTCAACCTTCCTAAAAATCTGATATTTTTCAAAGATTTGATTTCTAAATCCTTGCCATGTTTTTTCTTCCTCAGCTATTACTTTTCCCCCCAAAAAAAAAGTCTTCCATTTTCCCTTAAATTTCCAAACCATTTTGTTGTTGTTGCATCTCATTGAATAGCTCGTGACAACTTCGCACTGTATTCTGTTGCTGCTGCTGTTGTTGTTGTTGTTGATCATTTAACGACGATGATTCCGATGATGAACTACAGGAATTTGGAGAATTGTAACGTTGATGAGCTGGCGGATGATTGTTGTTCAGTTGATTGGGAGAGGCTTGAGATTGTTGTTGTTGTTGTAAGATTTGTTGTTGATGCTGTAGATGATGGGCCACCGAGTGGGTTATATGTGATCTGGGATCTTCAGGAGTCCAGGTGCGGGCATATAATTTGCTGCCAGGATAACGATCACCGCGACGATACCAGGACAGGGAATGAGCCACACCGCCAGCTGTGTAAAGTAATAGGGGGAAATGGAAATTATTAATTTTTTAATTAAGTTCCGCAACTAAGCCGTTTAGAAGTTAAAAAGAAAAGGATTAAAAAGAAAAGTGTCAATTGTTACAATTTAAAACAAAAAAAAAAAAAAAAACTGAGCCTCAGAATACCAATCTCAACCCCTTTTGGGCTGGCCCGGCTTTATTGACAGGGAGGTTTTTCGAAGGTTCAGATTTATTTGATTTGAAAACACTTGAGAAAACATTAGTGTCTACATTACAATGCCATTAGTGGGTAACGTCTGACGTTTAAAGTGTCGGAGATTTCCGCAAACCATCATTTGGCCGCCACAGATGAAGAAGTAAGGGATGGTTGGTTTTCATTTTTGCCAGCAAAGCAAACAAAACCTTTGTTGTTGCAGCTGCATGCTGTGAAGAGGGTATTTAATTGTCTGCTAAACAGCAGCAAAACATAAACATGCTGCGAAGCCAGTCATATGCTGGCCTGCCTGGTAGTCATTTCAGACAACCATGCATTTGGGCGCCAACCATCCATCCAATCAGAAAAGGTTACCAAATTGCGGAAAGGGTGTTTCCTATGCCTGCACTTGTTTGTTTTTCCTCTGCCTTGCAATTTGTTGACGATGCTGCCCCAGACGAATTTATGCGGGTGTGAAAATTTTTGTGGCCACCACACGGAGCGCACATAATTTCCAAACTTGTACTCAAGAGCTTTATTAAGAGCAAATTGGCAGAGGGTGCTCTTCGGGAAATTAGCATTACAATTTGATGCTATTTTTTGGCTACATCATGTCCTCACCTCTCATCTATCCGATGTTGAAAATTTCAAGTGTTGCAAGTTGGTGTGAACAATTGCCAGTTGTGTTTTCGGATGTGCTTTGACAAGGATTATAAACTGAAATACATTTTCATTTATCGCAAGGTATCGAAGGTATTTTGTTAAGGCCATAAGACAAGTGCGGAGGGGGAAGAGAAGTTGCGTGTATCAACCTCTCACTCCCATTCACTGGTGATGGCGGAAAACCAGAGCAAAAACCTTCCATTGAAAAATGTCTATCCACACCGGGGGTACTATCTTCGAACATGAAATGATTGTCATGTTTTGTATTTTCTTTTGGAAGTTGTTGTGGGGAGGTAGTGGGAGTTTTGCAGCTGTATGAGCTTGGAAATATTCTCACATGGTAATTATCTCGATGCCATATAAAATTATTACCTGGAACATGAAATGACGTTAAAAACATTTGAAGGTTATTTTGTTTTTTTATACCCTCAGTCATATGGCTACAGAGGGTACCATTTGATACGTCCCAAAACTTGTCTCATCGAAATAACGGTTTTAGACCCTAGGTCTCTTTGGACAAAATCCGTTTCAGGACATTTGGAGTCGATCTAGCGATATCCGTACGTCCATCTGTCTGGCTGGTGCGGTCGATAAGTCTCGAAGGGAGTATCCAATTTCATCCAAACTTGGTAAATCGTAATATTATTATCAAACTTAGGTCCAGTTCGGAGATGGGTAATATCGGTTCACTCCAAAGGGTCAAATTTTTCAAACAAATTTTTACGGCACAGAAAGAGAAAGGATAATCCGATTTTGCTCAAACTTTGCAAATCCTAATATTTCGATCAGTGCTAGGTCAGGTGAGAAAATAGACAATATCGGTCTACTCCATCAAGTACCCCACAAAGGGTCAAAATTTGGAATAATTATAACCCTTATAAAATGTGATGTAAGTGTCCGATTGTCTTCAAATTTCACACATCCCAATATTTTTATTAACCCAAGGTCTGGTGTTAAGATGGAATATATCGGTCCACTCCTTCTGGTACCTCCCACACAAAAGATCGAAATTTTCAAAAAATATTTTTCTGCACAGAAAGAGAAAGGATAATCCGATTTTACTCCAACTTTGCAAATACTAATATTTCGATCAGTGCTAGGTCAGGTGCAAAAATGGACAATATCGCTACACTCCATTAAGTACCTCCCCCACAAAGGGTCAAAATTTGGAATAATTATAGCTCTCATAAAATGTGATGTAAGAGTTCGATTGTCTTCAAATTTCACAGATCCCAATATTTTTATCAACCCAAGGTCTGGTGTTAAGATGGAATATATCGGTCAACTCCTTCTGGTACCTCCCACACAAAGGGTCGAAATTTTCAAAAAATATTTTTCTGCACAGAAAGAGAAAGGATAATCCAATTTTTCTCAAACTTTGCAAATCCTAATATTTCGATCAGTGCTAGGTCAGGTGCGAAAATGGACCATATCGGTACACTCCATCAAGTTCCTTCCCCACAAAGGGTCAAAATTTTGAATAATTATAGCTCTTATAAAATGTGATGTAAGATTCCGATTGTCTTCAAATTACACACATCCCAATATTTTAATTAACCCAAGGTCTGGTGTAAAGATGGAATATATCGGTCCACTCCTTCAGGAACCTCCCCCACAAAGCGTTAAAATTTTGAATATCCTTGAAGCTCATAAAACGCGAAATTAACATCCGATTCCATTCAGACTTTTTTCTATCAATACAAGATCTGTTATAAAGATGGCACAGATCGGACCATTCCTTGTGGTACCTCCCCCACTTTGGTTTCACTATTTTGAAAACAAATGTCGGAAATAGCATCAAATTTTAGAATAAGTTTAGATTTGTTCGAATTGGTCACCTTTGGCACGAATTATGGCCTTCAAACGGCCAATGAAACCGTCACACGCTGCCCGAATTTTGCTCCGCGGTATTTTTGGCCCATTCCCGGCGAAGCGCTTGTATGAGGCTTTAGTATTTTTTAGTGCCAATCTTGCTTTCCAAAATACTCCAGACACAATAGTCCAACGGATTGGTATTCGGAGATTTTTGTGACCATTGTGCGCTGGAAATGAAGCGAGGAACCTCATTTTGTAACCTTTCTTGGAATGTCTAAGGTCTGCGGCCAAAATGTTTGCGTGTCCAAGGCTTTAATACGCCCTACAGAATATTTTCGCGATAATATTCGACATTTTATGATCTGATGCCACGATCGAATAATACGAGCAGAGAACAACCATCGGCTGTTAAGGCGGCCCACACCATCACCATGGCCGGCGCTTGAGTTCTGGTGGCCAATCGAAGGTACACATGTTCAGCTGACCTCTTTGGCAAGTAAACACGAGCGGATCATTTTGTTTGTTCACAAACTGCTGGACAACGAATGTTTTCTCATCTAAGAAAACGAAATTCGTCAGTTCACCACTTTCTGCCAAGCGAAGTAACTCTTTAACTCTTTTGAGTCTATTTTCTGTTGTTTCTGTTGCTGTGAAAGTTCTTACACGTTTTTGAATTTCAATAGCTTTACCCTGAGCTCTTTTTTCAATATTTACCGAATGGAATATTGCGGTATATTCAGCTCACGAGCCATTTTTCAGCCAGTGCGAAGCGGGTTTCGTTGAAGTCGCTTCTTTATTTTTCCAACCATTTCTGCTCATGTTGCTGTTTTCTTCCGTCCACTTCGTTAACGTGGGGCTACGCTACCAGCCAGTATCACGGCAACGAGCAATGGTACGAGACATAAAAGATTTATTCACATTTAAATGCTGGAGTGCCCTAACGATAGCCACTTGTGGCTTTCCAGCCTAATCTAAAGAATCACACCATCACGCTTGAATTCCATTACGAATAACTTTTTTCCGGGAAAATTCTCACCAAAATGCTTTTGTGCGCTTGTAAACAATATAATCAGCTGTCACTGGAATAATTTTAACAGCTGTCGGACGAGTGTCTTAGATATGACAGCAGTCTGAAATTGGTTGCAGTTTTTTCATCGCACCCTGTATATCTGTGAACCCCTTCCGGTACCTCACCCACAAAAAAGATCACAATTTTCTATACCCTTATCTGTAATAACTTGCAGAACAGGTCGGCAATTCCTTCCAACTTGCTATAACTAAATATTTCTCTCAACCAGAAATTTGGAATTTATGATTTCGCATAAAATTGGATATAAATGTTCGATATTCTTGTAATTTTGCCAATACCAATATTTTTTTTTTCTGTATTAGATGGAGTATGAAAATGGAATACTTCGGTCGACTATATCGGGTACCCCACGCAAATTTCAACATTTTCTAAAAATTATCGCATATTTCATATAAAGTGAAGGAAGTAGTCGATATAGTCCAAACTTGGCACGTCGTAATATTTATATCATATTTATTTACGCCCGATACGAATTGATCCATATTGGCGCAGACCTTTGGAACCTACTCCGCAGAGAGTCAACAGTTTGAATAATCATAAATGAAGTCAAAATATATTAAAATAATTGAAGGGGTATACATCTGTCGTCAAAACCGACGGATATTTTCTAACTTGTTCTATAGAGGACACTCACAGGACTGCTGTAGATCGCTTGAATGCTAAATCAAGTTGAAAACTCTATTACACCTCTCCTGCAGCTGCTATGATTAGGTGATAAGCTAATCAGGCAAGCGCAACACCCTCATATTTCCCTGATAACTTCATTCATCCTGGGCCAATATCTAAAACAATATTCTAATCACAAAATCCCAATGGAATAAAGATAAGCGATCTTTTAAATATTCAAATCAAGAAATAATATTGAAATGTTTTGTGCAAAATCATGCAATCATCGGTGGCAATATTTTTTGATATTCAATCAATGTCAGTTGGGTTGGTAGAGCAAAACGAGAGAGAGAGAGAGAAGAGTCGATGGGTAATGGATATGCCCAAGATATGCTTGAAACCATGGTAAAAAAATCATAGGACGGATGGGCATATCGTGATGAAGATGGTTATCTTAAATGTTTTGTGGATAGTTGTCGAAACCACAAAATATTTAAGGGTGGTAGAAATGCCATGATGAGGTTACCCGAAACGCACACAACCACACGAAAACATTAGTTGTTGATCATCACCACGAACACGACGAACCAGCCGAACATTCATTTTTGATATCCGATGATTGCAAATAGTCCAACCACCCCATTCCATTTATTCATTCACGGAAGGGCAGAGGCGAGGGGGGGGGGAAATAAAAACATCCGTCTGTAACTAATTAGAATTTTCACACTTTTTTCATCGATGCCACGAAGTGATGGTTACTCTCCACGCATCCTAGCCGGATTACGGCAGACAATTTGTATTTGGCAATTTGTTGCAGTCCCGGAAAAAGTACCTCCAATAAAATCCCTTCTATTCTGTCCCAGTAGCCCAAAAACACTAAAAGTGAAAATGTATTTCCACCGAAAATTTCGTCATGGTCTTTTGGTTAATAATTTTTCTATTCAAAACGAATAGGAAAGTTGGCCTGATGGCATGACATACAGAAGATCGATTGTTCATTCAATTTATTTCCAAACATTTAAACGTGAGGAAATTCGTTATGGTAGGGTCATCAAAGGGATTAGACATTAGGGTCTCTTTTAAAAGGGGTTTTCTATTTTTTTTTGAGGAAAAATACTCATATTTCCTAGGTAATTTACATACATTTTTGAGGAAAAAAAATTATAAAATTGTTTTCAATTTAAAAAGTCACAACAGATATAAATTTTGTTTTTAATTAAAAAATTCTCAAGAGAGAAGGAAACTAAATGGGATAAAAGGAAGAAGAATTATGAGATGGGTTTTTTTTTGTGCATTTTCAAAATAACAGTAAAGTTGCATGACACAACAATAGCGGTAGTGACTCTCCCTCTCTCTCTCTCTCTCATTTGCTAACGTGACAGCCTTTCTCCAATGATCTAGGCCTTGTTATTGTTGTAAATACAAATTAGTTCATATCTAAAATATTTACGTATGACGAGTGGCATGTTTTACAAAAATAAAAAATCTCTAAATTTTCGGCCTTTCTTGGTATGTAACAAGTAAAAAAGCTGTAAGTTCGGCCAGGCCGAACTTTGAATACCCTCCACCATTTGGTACGAATTCAACAATTTTCAAAAAAAAAAAAAAACAATAAAAGGATTTTAAAATTCTGTTAAAATCGTGTAGCCGTATATTAGAGTCTATATGGCGACATGGACCTGCATAGGCAACTTTTGTCACAAGGCCACTTATATCACAATATTCAAATGCGAAACTTGAAAAAAATCTGTTTATAATGTAGCTAAAATCGTCGAATATAGGGAGGTACCATGGTGGTTATAAAACGTGGATCTGCACACAAAATGTTTTGTCATAGGCTGTTATATCGAACTTCACGAACTTCAAATGCGAAATTTGAAACAATTCCGATAAATAATGTCGCTAAAATCATCAAAATACCGAATATCGGGGTGTACCGTTATATGGGGGCTATACGAAGACGTGGACCTGCACAGACAATTTTCTGTCATAGGCTGTAGTATTCATTACGAACTTCAAATGCGAAATTTGAAACAATTCATGTAAATAGGTTCGCTAAAATCATGAAAATACCGAAGATCGGTGGTACCGTTTTATGGGGGCTATACGAAGGCGTAGTCCTGCACAGACAATTATATGGGGGCTATACGAAGACGTGGACCTGCACAGACAATTTTCTGTCATAGGCTGTAGTATTCATTACGAACTTCAAATGCGAAATTTGAAACAATTCATGTAAATAGGTTCGCTAAAATCATGAAAATACCGAAGATCGGTGGTACCGTTATATGGGGGCTATACGAAGGCGTAGTCCTGCACAGACAATTTTCTGTGATAGTCTGTAGCCTCCATTACGAACTTCAAATACTAAATTTGAAATAGTTCCGGTAAATAATGTCGCTAAAATCATCAAAATACTGAATATTGGGGGGTACCGTTATATGGGGGCTATACGAAGACGTAGACCTACATGGCTTATTTTCTGTCTTAGGATGTAGTATCCATTACGAACTTCAAATACCAAAATTGAAACAATTCCGGTAAATAATGTCGCTAAAATGATCAAAATACCGAATATCGGGGGGTACCGTTACATGGGGGCTATACGAAGACGTGGACCTACATTGCCCATTTTCTGTTTTATGCTGTAGTATCTATTAAAAACTTTAAATACCAAATTTGGGAGCTATCCGAAGACGTGGACCTATATGGCCCATTTTCAATACCAAAAGTCCTGCAGACATAGTACACATTTGAGTAAAATTTTATCAACCTACTTCATTTCGTTCGGAAGCTAGAGTGATTTCCACAGACGGACAGACGGATAGACGGACAGACGGACGGACATTGATAAATCGACATAGAATTTTATGCTGATCAAGAATATATATACTTTGTGGGGTCTAAAATGTATATTTCGAGGTATTATAAACGGAATAACAAACCTAATATACCCTCCATAATATTGTGGAGGGTATAAAAACAGTTATTCATTTCATATCTTAGGATACTGAATTTTATTTCAGTTAAATCAGTAAAGAAAGTCCTAAAGTCGGGCGGTGCCCATTTTATGATACCCAACACCACTTTGCTAATTTAGTTGAGCTCCACTTAATAATAAAAAGTTTTTATTGGAGAATTCAATCATACACCCTATGATTACAATTATAATTTAAAATTCAAAGGACTAAATATGGCGAAGCATTTGTATCTTTTAAATTCGGAATTGTATTGCCCATTTTGTGCACAATTAATTTGAAATCGGATAAAGATATATATGGGAGCTATGTCCAAATCTGAACCGATCTCGATAAAATTTGGCAAAGATATTTCTGAGCTGTATTTGATATATTTCCCTGAATATCGTTGTTACGGAGTGCATATTACGGCTGTAGGTAACAAATACAAAATATCTGAACCGATTTCGATCAAATTTGGCATACTTATTTTCAGGCCTAATTTGGTTGTATGTGCAAAATTTCATACTATTCGGGCTGATATTACACGTTTGGTGCACAATAAAAGGCAAATCGGACGAAGATATATATGGGAGCTATATCTAAATTTTTACCGATTATCTCCAATTTCAATAGGGTTCGTAATTAGGCCAAACAAATGTTGTTTGCAAAGTTTCATCTCAATCGGATAATAAATGCGACCTGCATTTTGTTCACAAGAATACATGGACGGACGGAAAGACGGACTGACATGCATAAATCAACTCAGAAAGTGATTCTATGCAGATCATCAAAAGGAACTATGGGTCTATCTCGTTTCCTTTTGCCTGTTACAAACAAATGCACAAAGACATAATACCCTGACCACCTTGTGGTGTAGGGTATAAATATTGATATGGGGAAAATTACAAGAAAATCGAACATTTATATTCAATTTTATGCTATGACCAAAAGATACCTTCGCAGATATCTATCATCTTCCCAAACATATCTTGTGTTAACAAAAATGTTTGTCTGTCCGAAATTTGAGGAGAGTTGAATGTTTATTTCGATTGTAAATATTGAGATGTTCCAAGTCTGAATTGAATCGGATGTTAATTTCGCGTTTTATGAGCTTCATGGGTATTCAAAAATGTTAGCCTTTGTGGGGTTGGGTACCAGAAGAAATGGTCTGATATCTACCACCTTTATAACAGATATTGTGTTCATGGAAATATTGAGATGTTCCAAGTCTGAATTGAATCGGATGTTAATTTCACGTTTTAAGAGATTCATGGATATTCAAAATTTTGAACCTTTGTGGGGGAGGTACCAGAAGGAGTGGACCGATATGTCCTATCTTCACATCAGATTTTAGAATAATAAGAAAAATGGGATGTGTGAAATAGGAAGAGAATCGGATGCTTATTTCGGATTTTATAAACATTTTTTGGTTATTCCAAACTTTGACCCTTTGTGGGGTTGGGTACCAGAAGAAATGGTCCGATCTCTACCATCTTTATAACAGATATTGTGTTCATGGAAATATTGAGATTTGCCAAGTCTGAATTGAATCGGATGTTAATTTTGCGTTTTAAGAGATTCATGGATATTCAAAATGTTGAGCCTTTGTGGTGGAGGGACCAGAAGGAGCTTGAATTAATAAAAATATTGTGATGTGTGTAATTTGAAGACAATCGAACTCCTACATCACTTTTACAAGATTTATAATTATTCAAAATTTTGAACCAATTCTGACCTAGCACCCATGCAAATATTAGGATTTGCAAAGTTGGTGCAAATTCAGATTATCCTTTCTCTTTCTGTGCAGTAAATTATTTTCTTTGATAATGTTGACATTTGGTGGGGGAGATACCAAAAGGAGTGGACCGATATTGTCCATCTCCGGATTCGATCGAAGTTTTAAAACAATATTACGATGTGCCAAGTTTGAATCAAATCGGATACTCCCTTCACTGAGTTATCGTGCAAACCAGCCAGCAAGACAGGCGGACGGATGGACGAACATCGTTAGATCGACTCCAAATGTCCTGAAACGGATTTGGTCCTAGGTTCTAAAACCGTTTAATTCGATGTGGCACGTTTTGGCCGTATCAAATGATTTATATCCTCTCTAGCCATATGACTGAGGGTTTAGTTAAAATTCTGCTATGAATGTAACCTTGTGCAATCCAAATGGTACCCATGGCTAAACAATAAAGTTTCATTTGCTAAATCGAGTTTGGCAACCCTTTTCAGACGAGCTCAACCTTGAAATTTATTTTCGTAGCTGAAACGTTTTCGTATGACGGATGGTATATTTTACCAATTAAATTTTGTTTTAAATAAGTTTTCAAGGATCAAAACACCAACAGTATTATGGCAAAACCAGCCACAATACTGTCGATCTTCATACTTGTTCTAGCTGCAGCTAAATTCTCCTTTGAAGCTTAATTCAATCATTCCATAATAAAATCTTACATGACTTGTGAGGCAAATATTTTAATTGTCTTTTTTAGATTATATTCTTCTTAATGTGATGTTGAGTTTCATAGATTTCATTTTTTCCGAGTTTAACCGTCACTGACCCGAAGACCAGTCTTTTTCAAATTTGCTTAAAATCTCTAAATTCAATAACAAGAAATATTTCGATATAAAAATCCGTTTCCCATACTTACATCGATCCTTTAGTATTATCTTCTTTGGTGGTTCCTTTTGATATTTTCGCTTCAATGTCAGACCGGGTTCGTTGCCATTTTTATCTTTCTTCACCATTTCACTGAGGAAGGTAATATAGCTAATGGCCAATTTTAATGTATCCACTTTACTGAGCCTCTTCTCATAGGGTAAGGTTGGTATGTGCGATCTCAAACCCTCAAAGGCCTCATTGATGGACTGCATGCGTCGGCGTTCACGTAAATTAGCCGCCTGACGCTGTTGCGCCACCTGTGAGGCGCATTTCATGCGTCGCGTTTTGTGTGGGCGTCTGAAAAAAGGGGAAAAAATATGGAAATGTGTATTAATATTTTAAATTCCGAGGATAATGAAATTTCAAAAAGGCATCCTAAAAATTGCAGCTTTTATTAAGTGTAAATCAGATAAGGGTTATGTTATTGGCGATGTCTTGTCGAGTTCCTGTCAGATAGTATTCCCAGATAGTATTTAATGGGAAGTAGATTTGAAATTCGAATTAGAAATAAGAAACTTTCAAAATCAGCTCAACCATATCGTCGGATACATTCAAACTCTAATTTCAAACCCCATTGACCCGAATCGTAACGGATAAGTTACGATAGGTTCTTCAACAAACATCCTATATTAGACATTGAAGTCAGTTTAGAATAACTGCAAAATATCCAGATGAAAGTGAAGATGAAGAAAGCGCTAGGAGGGGATAGAATACCATATGAACACATTATCCACGCTCCAGAAGACTTTGATAAACAGCTTGTAAAATGATATAACACAATTCGGGATACTGCAATTATAGACAGAGCCTCTGTCTAGATAGTTATATTCCCAATTCATAAAAGAAGAGCTAAGATCGAGCCATCAAACTATAGAGAAAATGTCTTGGAGAACTGCATTGCCAAATTAGTATTCTAAATGAGCGACTCTGCAATTGGCCTTAGAGGTCTCTACTGTAGAGTAGAGGGCCAAAGAGGCTCCTACTTTAGAGTAACTGGCCCTAGAGGCCTCTGCTGTAGAGTAGCTGGTATTAAAGACCCTTACTTTAGAGTAGCTGGACTCTAGAGGCCTCTACTGTAGGGACGCTGGTCTTAGAGGCCGCCAATGTAGAGCAGTTGATCTCAGAGGCCTTTACTATAGAGTAGCTGCTGGCCCTAGAGGCTTCTACTGTAGAGTAGCTGGCCTTAGAGGACATTAACGTACAGTAGTTGGCCTCCAGAGGCCTCTGCTGTAGAGTAGCTGGCCTTTAGAGGCCTCTACTGCAGAGTCGCTGGCCTTAGAGACCTCTAATGTAAAGTAGGTGGCCTCTAGAAGCCTCTACTGTAGAGTAGCTGGCCCTAGAGGCCTCTGATGTAGAGTAGCTGGCATTAAAGGCTCTTACTTTAGAGTTGCTGGACTCTAGAGAACTCTACAGTAGAGTCGCTGGACTCTAAAGACCTCTACTGTAGGGAAGCTGGCCTTAGAGGCCGCCAATGTAGAGTAGTTGATCTCAGAGGCCTTTACTGTAGAGTAGCTGGCCTCCAGAGGCTTCAGCTGTAGAGTAGATGACCTTATATGGTTCTACTGTAAAGTAGCTGGCCCTAGAGACATCTACTGTAGAGTAGCTGGCTTCAGAGGCCTCTAATGTAGAGTAGCTGGCCTCCATATGAGCTTATGGTTCTACTGTAGAGTTGCTGGCCTCTAGAGGCCTCTAATATAGAATAGCTTTCCGTAGAGGCCTCTAATGTTAAGTAGCGGGCCTTAGAAGATATGATTCTAAATAAGCTGGCCCCTACAGACCTATAGTTTAAATTAGCTGAACTTAAAGGCCTCAAATGTAGAGCAGCTAACCTTAGAGGCCTCCACTGTAGAGTAGCTGGCGTCAGAGGCCTCAAATGTAGAGTAGTGGGTCCTAGAGGCCTCTAATATAGAGTAGCTGGCCTTAGAGGCCTCTAATGTAAAGTAGTTGGCCTTAGAGGCCTCCAATGTAGAGTAGCTAGCCTCAGAGGCCTCTAATGTAGAGTAATTGGTCTTAGAGGCCACTACTGTAGAATAGCTGGCCTCTGAGGCCTCTAATAAAAAGTAGGTAGCCTTAGAGGCCTCTAGTGTGGCGTAGCTGGCCTTATAGGTCTCTACTGTAGAGTAGTTGGCCTTAGATGTCTCTACTGTGTAGCTGGTTCCAGAGGCCTCTACTGTAGAGTAGCTGGCCTGCAGAGTCCTCCTTGAGTAGCTGGCCTTCAGAGTCCTCCTTGAGTAGCTGGCCTTAGAGGCCTCCACTGTAGAGTAGCTGACCTGAGAGGCCTATACTGTGGAATAGCGGGCCTTAGAGGTCTTTACTATAAATACCTGGCCTCCAGAGACCTCTACTGTAAAGTAGAGTAGATTAGGTGGGCTCCAAAGTTCTCTACTGTAGACTAGCTGGCCTTCGAGGCCTCTATTCTAAACTAGCAGGCCTTAGAGGCCTATACTATAGAGTATCTGGCTTCTACTATAAAGTAGCTAGCTTCTAGAGACCTCTACTATTATGTAACTGGGCTCTAGAAGCTTCTACTATAAAGGAGCTAGCCTCTAGAGACCTCTACTATTATGTAGCTGGGCTCTAGAGCCCCTACTATAAAGTAACTGGGCTCTAGAAGCTTCTACTATAAAGGAGCTAGCCTCTAGAGGCCTCTACTTTAAAGGAGCTGGCCTATACTATAAAGAAGCTGACCTCTAGAGGACTCTACTAAAAAGTAGCTGGCCTCTAGAGGGCTCTATTTTAAAGGAGATGGCCTCTAGAGGCCTCTACTATAAAGAAGCTGGCCTCTAGAGGCCTCATCATAAAGGAGCTGGCCTCTAAAGTCCTCTACTGTAAAGTAGCTGGCGTCTACTGTAGAGTACCTGACTTAAGATGCCTCTATTGTAGATTCACGGACCTTATAGGCCAGTCATGGAATTTTAAAAATATATTTTCAATTCTATCCCCTAATATACTTACGTCTTTTCGGTATTCTCCTGATCGCTGTTAAAACCACTGCTATAGGCATCATCATCGTCGGTATCCGTGCTATTATCATCGCCAAAGAAAAATTCCGAACTTGACGAGGACGAACCATTTGTGGCCTGGGAGCCCTCAAAGAAATGGCGTGCCATTGTCGCTTCCAAATCGAAATTATCCAAAGAGAACATGATGACTCCGGATGATATCACCGAGATATTGACACTATTAATTGAATACACTGGTAATTGGTGGCTTGTAAGTGGGTCCACGTGTGGGCTATTTGGGGCACGTGTCAACACTTCCGGTGACTTTCAGTACAACAAGTGTTTAACTTTGGTAGATAATTATTTCAATATGTTTTTTTTTTAAATATTTATTTTTAGAATTGTTAGGGTAACACTGCTTATCTTGAATTCTTTTATCCGTTTTAAGTGATTTATGGTTCCGATGAAAACATTTTGATTGGGAAAGGGTTATTGATAGATAACCTCAAACTGGAATAATTTTCAATTTGTATTCCTATTCACAATTTTCTTTTATTTTTGTTTCTTATTTTTCTTTCTGGTTTCCACTTAACTGCCTTTTAACTATAATTTTCTTATAACTGATTTTCCTCTGATTTTCTTATATCAAAACACCGATAATTCCCAAAACGTGCCAGCAATTATGCTGCGGCACATGACCACTTTGTCGCTTTTTGTTATGTCTTCCGCGCGTATTTGCGTTGGCGTTTCAAAACACACTTAACTCCCGCAGCGTATCCGTTTCTTGTTTGCCACACCAACTTCCTTCCGTTTTGTTGCACGTTTCAATGATAAGTGCCCGGACACAGGGCACCAAACACAATCCTTATAGTGTTTAATAATTTGTAATCAGTTGCAAGGAACCAACAACAACATCAACGAAAATATAACAACAAACATATTTCCACTTTCATAGGGGAGGAAATCCTCCCCTTTTTGCGTTTTTCGCTTATCAAAACACGTTGGCAACCCCCATTTCTTGGTGACACTGCTGTCAAGGCAAAACGGTAAACTTCAAACAGTGAAAGAGAAAAAGGGCGGGACTTATCAGCAACCAAACAACCAATCACAGAGAGGGATTTTTTGCCCTCTCTGTGTGGGGAAGAAATCTGGGGATATTTTTCCTTTTTTGGGGGGAATATTTTAAGGGAGGAGTATAGGGGGCTTAATTTCATATCTATGTATGTCTATTTTTAATTTGCAAAAGAAAATGTTCATAGAAACTTATTTCGCTTAAACTTATTTGGGTTTTGTGTATTTCGGCATTAACCTGGAGAGATTTTTTTTAAGGCACGGCATTAAATGAATGGGAAACCCAGCAAACAATTTATTGGGGATTTTTTAAGAAAACATTTTCAAGGGCTATAAACTGGAATTTCTTAAGGAAAAATTTTTCAGGGACACCTTCAGCTATTAAAGTTGATCTTTAAAGGACTTTCACAGCAATAAATTTGCTTTTCTCAATGAAACCCAGCAAACAATTTATGCAGGATTTTTACGAACATTTTTTCAAGGATTTCTCCATCTATAAACGTGGAATATTAAGCCATTATAAGGCACCCTCAGCTGTTAACGTTAATCTTTAAAGAACTTTCAAGGCAATAAACCTGGTTGTCTCAGAGAATACTTTTCATAAACGTAAATTTCGAGCTTCCTGAATCATAAACGTGAATTTTGAAATAAACATTTTTTAAGGAGTTATTAATCTACCAATGTGGATTTTTGAATTCAGATTTTAGTACTTGCAGGTTTTTTCAAGTACTTCTACTAACGTAGATTTTTCCAAAAATACGCTGTCCAACACGAAAGTAATTACGGGGGAAATCCTGAGGATTTCGAAAGTTGAGCTAAACAAGTTAAAAAGCATCAGTCGGGTCTGCCGACAGATGTATACCCTCAGCCAATATTCGATTATTTAAATATATTTTGACTTCTGTTATGATTTTTCAAATTGTTGACCCTCTATGGCATAGGTTCCGAAGGAATGGACCAATATTATCTTTTTCGTATCGGACCTAAATAAATATGATATAAATATTGCGACGTGTCAGGTTTGGACTACATCGACAGCTTTCTACACTTTATATGAGATATGTGATCATTTTTAGAAAATGTTAAAATCTGCGACCGAAATATTTCGTACTTCAACTAATACAGGAAAAATTACAAGAAAAACGAAAATATGCGAAATCTTACCATTCATGTCAGGTTTCTGGTTGAGAGAAATATGCAGATATAGCAAGTTGATAAAATAATTGAAAATAGTCACCCTTCGTGAGTGAGGTACCAGAAGGAGTTCGCAGATATATCCTCTTCACAAGAAATCTTGTGTAAGGAAAAATGTTTGTGTGTGTGAAATTTGAAGAGAGTTGGACGCTTATTTCGATTTCTTTGAGTGTTTTGTTTTTCAAAATCTTAAACCCTATGTGAGGGAGGAACCCGAAGAAATGGTCCGATCTTTATATATATATATATATATATATATTTTTTTTTTTTTTTTTTTTTTTTTTGAAAATTTGGACTTTTTGTGAGGGAGGTACTAGAAGGAGTGGACAGATATATTCGATCTTCACACAAGATCTTGGGTAAATAAAAATATTTTGATGTGTGCAATTCGAAGACAATCGGACACATACATCACATTTTATAAAACTTATAATTATTCAAAATTTTGACCCTTTGTGGGGGAGATACTGGATGGAGTGAACCGATATTGTTCATTTTCGCTCCTGACCTAGCACTAATTCAAATATTAAGATTTGCAAATTTGTAGCAAAATCGGATTATCATTTCACTTTCTGTGCAGAAAATATTTTTTTTAAATTTCGACCTTTTGTGGGGGAGGTACCATAAGGAGTGGTCCGATATTGCCCATGTCCATATTCCATCTAAGTTTGACAAAAATATTACGATGTACCAAGTTTGAAGCAAATCGATTACTCCTTTCTAGAGTTATCGTGCGCGCCAGACAGACAGACAGACAGACGGACGGACATCGCTAGATCGACTCCAAATGTTCGGAAAGGGATTTGGTCCAAAGAGACAACTACGCGTTTTGACCGTATCAAATGATATATATCCTCTCTAGCCATATGGCGGAGAGTGTGACAAATCAATATTTTTCAGGGCTCAAATGAACAATATTTTTTTTTAAATCCAGTCTCTGGTAAATATCGATTTAAAAAAAAATATTTTTTCAATACTATGACAAGCGTGGGTTTTAAAGAACATTTTTAAGGACTTTCTGAAATTGCATTTTCAACGATTTTTTATCTGCAATCGTGATGCAAGTATAAGGTTTCTTAACGAATATTTTATGAGCTTCCTGATCAAAAAAATAGATTTCTACCGATCTTCATACACTCCCTAAAATGAAAATGTTGATTTTTAAATTTTTTTCAAGGACCAACTGAGCTACCTGCATTCACGATTTTTCAGTTTTAACAATATTTTTTGTGCTATTTCAAATAATACTTTTTTCATAATTTGAACGTGGATTTTTTAATTTATTTTTTTTTTCAAGGTCTTCCTGAACTACAAACGTGAATATATATACAAAGATATTGTTTTCAAAAACGTTTAAAGGCCTAGGATTAAAAAAGTTTTCAAGGAATGTGGATTTTTGAACTGTAAATTTGTGTATTTAAGAACAGTTTATATAAGAAGATCAGTTTTTATTTTTTATTTTTATAATACACGTTTTATCAAATATAAATGCAAATTGTTTGAAAGATATTTTCCAAAAATTTCTTGATACAGAATTTCTTTGATACAGAATAAATAATTGAAAATTTATTTAATTATTTCTCAAGGACTTCCTGATCTATAAACATTGAATTTATATTATTATTTTGGCAAGGACTAGATGAGTTTTTTTTTAATATTTTCAAGGATTTGAAATATTTTTTCAAAGACTTCCATACCATAGACATGGATGTTTAAAGGTTTTTTAATTACTTTCTCAACAATAAACATGGATTTTTTAAGCAAAATTTTCATGGAATTTCTCATATATAAATGTAGATTTCAAGGACTTTCTTAGCTGTAGAAGTAAATTTTTTCAGGAATGTTCTTCAAGGACTTCCTCAACCACAAATGCGTATTTTTAGGAATTATTTTTACAAGTATTTCTCAAACTACAATTTTTTCAAAGAATATATTTTTCAAGGACTTCTTCAACTAAACCCGTGGATTTTTTAAAGAGTATTTCTAAGGGCGATTCAGATCTATAAAGAATATTATTAATAACTTTTTTATAGTCCTTTATCTGCAAAAATATTATTTTCAGGACCTGTCATAATTTTTGTAAATTTTTAAGAAATTAGTGTTGTATATTTCCAATGAATACGTATTAGAGGAAATTAATACTAACATTTATATTTTGAGTTCTGTTATTGCATGACAGATATTTTCTCAAGGACTACATAAGTTTTTTTTTTAATTTTTTCAAGGTTTTAAAAGCCCATCTTTTAAAGTTTTCTCTCAATTTTCTTTCTTTTTTAAATATCTGATTTTTTAAGTGGATCATTCATAACTTTTAACGGCTATTTTCAAAAAAAACTACTCCACTTTTCCATTACAACATCTCCTAAAACAATTGTCGAATAGATTATGAAATAAATTTCAATTTAAAATCGCTGAGGCATAACCAAAGGATAAAGGTTTAAAAATTAAAACTCAATATCAATGGAATGCCTAAATCTAAAACACACAAGCACACTCACGGAGAGTCAGACACACACATAAATCTCCTTTGTAATTATTTTGAACTGAAAAACGAACACACACACACACACACACACACACACACACAAATAACAGCAACAACAGCAACAAAAAGATTCAAGAGTGTGATAAGCTTATTTTGATCTTTTCTGTCCAACTAAGCAATCCATCCAAATCTGATGAACGAGCTCTAGATTCGGTTTTTTTTTTTTGGATTTTTGAGTTTTTGATTGTCTAAGGGATTTGAGAGAGAACAAGGACAAAGAATGAACCAAAAAGAGAGATATCATTGTCTTGCTTAGGAGGGGTTGGAGGGCAAATGAGCCACAGCAACCCTCCTTTGGTGTAATGAACAATGCACAATTGAATAATATTATTGTACAATTTACCAAATACCCGAAAGGGGGGGGGGGGGGGGGGGGAAGGGAAAATGAGGAACACGTCCTACAATTGTTTGACATGATATACCCTACCCACCTTCATGAAGTTGCAGGACACATGAAGTTTGCATGTCAAGCCCACAGCAAAGAGGCGGTTATGCTCGATTGGTGTTTCTAATCTGTAATTATTGGAAAGTAACCAGAAATATTCCCTACCCTCCTCCCTGGGATGTGGTTAGTTGAAATTTTATTTTTTTTATTTAATTATTAATTTTCAATATTTTTTAATTATATATTTCTCTGAATATATAATTATAAGTTAATTTTTTTCAGGTTCTTTTTTTGTCAAGTTATCCAGG